TATCCAAGTTATAGGCCAATACCTAAAACGAGATATTTGCGGTTTAAGGGTGCCGGGAATACTACGGTCAGAGGTCGGCCAGCAGACTATCAACGCCCACCTACCGCCTGAAGTTCAGTACGCCTATTGGTACTGGGTCCACCACCTAAAAGAAAGCAAACATAGTATAGAGGACGACGGTCTAGTCCATACCTTCCTGACAAGCCATCTCCTCCACTGGCTTGAGGCTTTATCTCTCCTGGGAAGACTCTCAGATAGGGTATTGTTAATAAGAATGCTTCTGAACGCTACCCAGGTCAGTCAATAGCACCGTTATAATGCTGTACAGAGACTAATTATTGCTAACTATAGCCGGACATAGCCTCTAATTTTATTGAATTCCTAAAGGATGCAGAAAGGTTTATTCGTAGCCATAGAACGATTATGGAACAGGCTCCATTATAGATATACGGTTCTATACTTGTCTTTAGTCCAACCTTAAGTGAGGTAAGAAAGCAGCAGTGGAAGAGGAGGCTATCATTTATCAAATCGGCCGTAGGTGTCAAAACCTACTAGGGTACACACCAATAGACGCTCGAAGGGCATAGCGATCACGTTAGCACGGTGGCGTTCTCGCCAGATGGGAAAACGCTCGCGTCAGGTTCGGGGGACAACACTATCCGGCTCTAGGATATAGTGACAGGTACGCACCAGCAGACGCTCGAGGGGCATAGCCATTACATCAGCGCGGTGGCGTTCTCACCGGATGGGAAAACGCTCGCGTCAGGTTCGGGGGACGATACCATCCGGCTCTGGGATACAGCGACAGGTACGTACCAACAGACGCTCGAGGGGCATAGCTGTTATATCATCGCGGTGGTGTTCTCACCGGATGGGAAAACACTCGCGTCAGGTTCGGGGGACAATACTATCCGGCTCTGGGATGCAGCGACAGGTACGCACCAACAAACGCTCGAGGGGCATAGCTATTCCGTCATCGCAGTAGCGTTCTCACCGGATGGGAAAACGCTTGTGTCAGGTTCGAGGGATAACACTATCTGGCTCTGGGATGTGGCGACAGGTATACACCAACAGACGCTCGAGGGGCATAGCCATTATATCAGCGCGGTGGTGTTCTCGCCGGATGGGAAAATGCTCGCATCAGGTTCGGGGGACAATACTATCCGGCTCTGGGATGCGGCGACAGGTATACCCTAACAGACGCTCGAGGGGCATAGCCATTACATTAGCGCGGTGGCGTTCTCACCGGATGGGAAAACGCTCGCGTCAGGTTCGAGGGACCATACTATCCGGCTCTGGGATGCGGCGACAGGTATACACCAACAGACGCTCGAGGGGCATAGCGATCCCGTCAGCGCAGTGGCGTTCTCGCCGGATGGGAAAACGCTCGCGTCAGGTTCGAGGGATAACACTATCCGGCTCTGGGATGCGTTCTTGCTGGATGGGAAAACGCTTGCGTCAGGTTCGGAGGACGAGACTCTCGAGGGGCATAGCCATTACATCAGTGCAGTGGCGTTCTCACCGGATGGGAAAACACTCGCATCAGGTTCGGAGGATCGGACTATCCGGCTCTGGGATGCGGCGACAGGTACATACCAACAGACGCTCGAGGGGCATAGCGATTCCGTCAGCGCGGTGGTGTTCTCGCCAGATGGGAAAACGCTCGCGTCAGGTTCATGGGATAAGACTATCCGGCTCTGGGATGCGGCGACAGGTACATACCAACAGAAGCTCGAGGGGCATAATAGTTACGTTAGTACGGTGGCGTTCTCGCCGGATAGGAAAACGCTCGCGTCAGGTTCGGGGGACGATACTATCCTGCTCTAGGATATAGTGACAGGTATATACCAACAGACGCTCGAGGGGTATAGCCCTTACATTAGCGCGGTGGTGTTCTTACCGGATGGGAAAACGCTCGCGTCAAGTTCGGAGGACAACACTATCCGGCTCTGGGATGTAGCGACAGGTACGCCCTAACAGACGCTCGAGGTGCATAGCCATTCCGTCAGCGCAATGACGTTCTCACCGGATAGGAAAACACTTAAGACAAACTATAGCCTCTTGAGTATCAACTCAGGCTCGGATGCTTCCCGAAACCAGAGTGATATTCTCTTGGTCGATGGCAAATGGATCACCAAAGGTGGAAAGTATCTTCTCTGGCTTCCTCCCGATTACCGGGCATCGTGCATATCAGTGTACGATCATACACTGGTCATAGGACATGCCTCTGGGCAAGTGACGTTCTTGCAGATTGTTTCCGCTTAGTAATGCAGTAACTAGTGTTATATATATCTGATATCTTTGCTGAAATGAAGGGTCTGGGAAAAATGCTTGCTTTATACTACTTAGTTCTCGCCACTCATATAAATGTTGACAAATACACCTTGCCACTCTGCGAGGCATCAGATGATTTGAGACGGTATGCAGGGACTATACACCCACCGAGCCCTGTAGTGGACACCTTATGCTGCACTTATGCCTGGCGGTGTTGATAATGTTTTGAGGCAGCTATACGTAATTCTGTGAGACCTTACCCGTATCCGCAATGGCAAGGCACTTGGTGAAGGAACCAGCCCTGTCCTCTCTTATGTTTAACCGTTGGTGGAATCTGCAATGGAGCCGGATTCGCCTTATCATTTGACGGCCGTCATCGTAAGGATAGCCATTTCTTGCGGCAGCTACTTCTGGCTGACGGTCCAGGTCGGCTGACGGTCATCATAATACTGTGTTGTTGCACTATGGTATATATCCTGCCGGGTACACAAGCGCGTGCGAGGGCACACGGTGTGGCTGGTTAAATGCATAAACGGTCCGTGCGCCAGAAAGATGTGTGAAAGAAAAGCGGAAGCCGATTTCGCTAGTGACTGTAGGTTTTGTCGTGGCACCAGGCCAGCGAGTGCTGACGCGCCAAACCTGCTGCTCACGTTTCCGGCCCCTTGAGCGCGAGCGGAGCCGAGAGGAATGCAGCCCAAAAGGCGGGAGCAACCAAGGAGCTGGAAATGGAGCTGGAAATGGCACCTGCGGGCTCGACGACCTCCGGTCTCCCTCCAAGAGTCTCCCAGGCGCTCCTCTGGTCTTCCTCCGAGCGCTCGAAACCACCGCCCGAGCCTTCGCAGTCCCAAAACTCCGGCACTGACGGATCGATGCAATGAGTCAAGGCTTATCTACGGATGTCCCTACCAAAAGAATCCGCTCACCGCTCTTATATATAGCCGGCAGAATTAGCCGGTATTTACAACAGCTGTATTCGGTCCCAATTAGGAAGGGATAAACTCCCCCGCATCGTACATCTCTTTCCATCATCATCCTCTTCAACGAACCTCTTTTATTATGGTTTACCATGATATAGCTACACGCGCTCAAGCGCTAACTCTCAAGTTGATTGTTCAGCTCGATAATAAGCAGGTGGAAGAGCTTACTGGCATTAAGCCGCGGACTCTTAACGACCTTGCCGATAGAGCTCTCGCACGTGGCTTCGACCCAAATGTCTCCCCCCCTATCATCCTCGACGAACATGTCTGTGATGCTCCAAAGACCGGCCGTCCCTCGAAGAAAGGCGATAATAAAGATGCTGTTCTTGAGAAGGTCCGCTAGAGCCGGTTCGGCCGTAAGATGACATACGCTTATATCTCGGCGGAGTTAGGCAATACCATCTCGCCAATGACTATCTGGCGTATCCTCTGCGCTGCTAGGATAAAGAAGACGAAGCCAACATGCAAGCCTGGTCTAATAGAAAAGATGAAGAGAGATCGGTTCGAGTTCTATCTTCGCTTTGAGCATTAGACTCTCGAAGATTGGAAGCGAGTTATCTGGTCTGACGAGATATCTATCGTCTTAAACTATCGCCGGGGTGGTTACTACGTTTGGAGGACCCCTAAGGAGAAGTTCGTCAAGTCTTGTATTCGCGAGCGCTAGAAGGGATATACTGAGTTCCAGTTCTGGGGCTGTTTCTTATACGATTTAAAGGGGCTATATTATATTTGGTATCCAGAGACCGTACAAGAGAGGAAGGCAGCCGAGAAGGACCTCGAGGAGCTGAATATAAAGCTAGAACCCATCCTCCGCGAGCAATAGGAGCTAGAAACTGGAATAAGGCGCTTGAAGCTACAGAATCAAGGCGGACGAGCTCCTCAATGGAGGTGGGATACGAAGCACGGCAAGCTTATACGACGAGAAGGCTCTGGCGTTGATTGGTATCGCTACCAGAAGGAGATCCTGATGAAGAAGCTCATTCCATACGCCAAGCAGTATGGCCCAGATGCTCTTGTTCAGGAAGACCTGGCACCTTCTCACGCCCACCACGCACAAGCTACAATCTTCTCAGCGGCTGGAGTATTAAGACTCGTCTGGTACCCCAACTCCCCTGATCTTAATATGATCGAGCCGTGTTGGCCGCATCTAAAGCGGGTAATAACAAAGAAGGGAGCTCCAAAGAACAAGAGCCAGGCAGAGATAGTCTGGAAACAGGCGTGGGATGATCTAGAACAGTGGAGGATACAACGTTGGATTGAGAGGATCCCGCACCATATCTAGGAGGTCATTCGCTTGAAGGGCGGGAACGAATACGCAGAAGGGACGTCAAACAAACGCCGTCAAGATGTTGTTCTGTCCCCCGGGCCTAGCACTGAATAACTTCACTGTTTCCTAATAGAGTAGTAGATTCTGGAGAGATGGCAGGAGGTAATTACCTTACACTTGTTTACAAGTGTGGTGGTCTTGGCGCTGAAGGCGGTGAGCGGGTTCTTTTGGTAGGGACATCCGTAAATTAGACGTTTCAGTTGCATGAGGTGGGGCTTTTCAGCTCTGGGCGGCGGCTAATGGGTGGGTCAACGGGGGTGGTCGTATCCACCTTCCTATTGGTCAGTCGGCGCAGCATACCCAAATACGAAAGCGAACCGTGGTTCGTCCATTGGATGAAAAATGTGGGGCTTGCAGTGACTATGGCGCTTAACAATTGGTCGGCACTCGTGGTTCCCATTCCTGCACGCTCGCAGCCATCCATTCCTCAGACGTCACTCCATCTCGAGACATTCTTCCCCAGACACATAACCAGGACCTCGCGCTCCCCCCTCCGTTCTCATCACCATGGCCCACACTCGAGCCCAAACAGCGGCCCAAAGGGCGCTCCTGTCGCCAGCGTCAAATCATCAAGGTACTTATTCTTCGCAGCGTAAAGGACATCTCCCGCTGATGCTTGCAGGAAATCGACCCCAGGGCATCCAGCCGCGCAAAGGCAGTTCTCGAAAGCGCGCAAGCAGACACGCTGAACGCAATCGCCTGCGTCCAACTATACCCAGCGAGACGCCGACGGCGCCTGTCCAGAGCAGAGGTCGTAGGCGTAAGCACACAATCGAACACGCACTCGAGGCCAGCTAAGACCCGGACCCAGAGCCAGACCCGAAGCGACGATGGACATCCCCTCCACGCCCTGCGGAAGTCGCATTTAGCGAGCCAGCGATTGGCAGCAGTGCCCACAAACACACTGACCCGGTTGCTTTCTGGGCGAATGAAGGGCACTGGCCATAGGAGCAGGACTGGCCGGAAGAAACCTCAGAGACGGATCTCACCATGGACCATCTCCTTGCGCGGAAGAAATCCTCGTCCAATCTGTCCCGGAAGCAATCGAACTCGGCGACATCCACGACACCCAGCGACCAAAAGCCGAGGGATGAGAAGAGCGCACCGTATCGACACCAGCGTTATGAGACCCTTCTCGAGGTTAAAGGCAGCTATATGACCAAAGCTCCCCTAGGCTTAGTCAGCGCGAGCCAGGCTCTTTGCCGGACTCTCCTCGGGATGCCTTAGCCAGTTCCTGGCGATACACTCTTCCCAGATGACATCTTCGAAACGATATGCCAGAGGATACACAATAGAAATAAGGCGCGAGTGATTCAGGATATTAGTCGGTTGATTGTCCCTTCAGCCGAAAGTCTTGCTACTTTTGGTACAAAGCACCTTGACATCTTGACGGAGAGCGTTAACGAAGGATGGAACAACTCGATCCCTTTCACCAGCACTCGTCCCCAGCCTGACTACTCTGTTGGGTTCAGGCGAGATGCGTTCACCGAGGACCAGCTCGCCAAGCTGTCGCCCTTCATTGGCGACTTCATTGCCGGGGACTAATCCTTCTTGGCCACATACTATATGTACTTCCCGTTCCTGACATGCGAGGTGAAGTGCGGCGCCGCGGCGCTCGACATTGCAGACCGTCAGAACGCCCATAGCATGACCCTTGCGGTGCCGGGTATCGTCGAGCTTTTCTGTGCTGTCAAGCGCGAGGATGAAGTCAACAGGAAGATCCTCGCCTTTTCCGTCTCGCATGACCATACCTCGGTCCGGATCTACGGCCACTACCCAGTGATAGCCGGGAAAGACACCAAGTACTACCGCCATCCTATCCACAAATTCGACTTTACCGCGCTTGACGGAAAGGACAAATGGACGGCATATCGGTTCACGAAGAACGTATACGACATATGGATGCCCAAGCATTTCGAGCACATCTGCTCTGCCATCAATCAGCTGCCGTCGGATTTGGACTTTGATGTCCCGCCGCTTTCTAAGGCGACCGGGCTTTCCCAGGATTTGAGAGACTTGATGCAGTCAGATGCCAGCTGCGCTTCTATACCTGACGAGCGGGGCAGCCAGTCGAGCAATGTCGAGCCGGAAGCGGACACTCCAGGTACCTCATTCAGTGAGCCGAAGAGGAATGAGCCGAAGAGGAGGAAAGGATAAGGCCCGGAGTTGGCGGGTGGATAGCATAGGATACAATTGACCGGCATCTTGATCGTGTCTCACAACACAGAACACCGCACTAGCAGTGTCAATCCTCATCGTTGCTCTAACGACCCCGGGAAGAACGCCTTGCTCAGGAGGGCGGTGTTCGCGACAGGCTTGTGGCCCCTGATGCTTATGTTTGTCGCCTACCGTTCCACAGTTTTCCAGATCAGGTTGGTCTTTATAAGGGTGTGGACTTGTGCCGGGAACTGTGCAGTCCTTCAGACAGTTGGACGTCAGCCGGCAGGATAGAGGCCTCTGCGCGGGCGGCTTCCCACCCTGTGATCGTATTGGCGGAAGCACCCAGCCCCTTAAGCAAATCTTGTACTAGCCACTGGGAATTCTTATAAAGAGTTTCCACAACGACGTCTCTCAGGCTCTATCATTTTCAACAGTGGATCCATACACCTCTACTAACATCTTGGACATTAATGATTTCCTTGAGGCAACGCGGGCCGCTGCCTTGAAGTGTCGAAGGGCAACGGCCTTCAGTCCACGTATCAGATACTTTTCTGCCAAAGCGTAAACCTTTCCATGGGTAACAAGGACATCCCTAACCGGCTTATCAACATCGGTTCCGTCTCCGTCTGTGTCTGATCCAAGGCTGCGATCGTATTGCAACTGTACGTCGTAGTCAAAATGGTACAAGTAATGTACCATTAAATGGACAAGCCGAAGATCATCATCCAGAAGGTATACCGTTCCTTCTTATACCTCCTAAAAAGACGATGTCAGTTAGAGTCGTCGCAAGCATATAGACTGCCACTGACCTTGAAGCCAGCACGGCAAGCTACAGAGAGGAACTCGGACTACGTGCATACGATAGCCCTATATACACGGTGATTTTTCCCTCCGCAGTATATCACGACGTCTGCATACTCCCAACTGGAGTAGAGCCTAGCCAGAGGCTATTGTCACTACCTACAAGTTTCGGAGAACGGAAGAACAAGGAGAGCAGAATGAGTATACTCTTTTAGAGAGCCGATCAGGGCTTTAGAGGGCTCATCACCAGCTATATCGCGGGCTGTCTGAGTTACAGAGCCAGCTGGCTTGTCCTCGAACCCAAACGACAACTCCGAACTTAGCGTTGTTGTCTGCACAATTCGTCGTACAGGAACTGCAGGTATTTTGGCCGAAAGGAGGTTGAAAGCATGTCGGTCCGAGTTCTCGGGGTGCTGTCTCAATGCTTGTACATTTTTGAACTCACGATTGCACGTATTGCAATAGGACATCTTAGCCCTGTAAGGGAATGCCTCAAGACTGCATCAGGTTATCATTTGCTGCCACCGGTGGTATCGTCGTCTCTCGGCGTTCCGCCCAACGGTCAATGAGCCACGTGACTTGCGTAACGTTACTACTTCCCCCGCGCAAGGCCACGAAGGCCATCCATCCGACGACCACCAACGACTTGTGAATGTAATACATTCGCTAGCAATCCTGATTAGAAACTTCTTTGTACCCAAGTTTGTTAAGGTATCATTATAAAGGGGCTATACGAAGTAGATCCCAACAGGGACGTTATTATTATCCTTCGCAATTCGGGCGCGCCGTTTACGGAAGCCGCTACTGAAGATCCCTTCACCTTCGCGGCAGGTCCCATTAGGTATGAATTACAGTCGACTGGCGGACCTGGCAAGAAGAACAAGAAAAAGAACAAGAAAAAGGAAAAAGGGCCAAGTAGGTCTTCTTCTACTCCTGTTCCAGGTGTTTTCCCTGATGCCTCTCTTAAACTAAACCCGCCGTCGGAAACTAGAAGCCACTGCATTAAGGGAAGAAGCTGCTATTGAAGTAGAACCAGCTATTGCAGCTAGAGACGCTGCTATCGAGCAAATCACTGCTACCGAGGAAGCCCTTGCCATTAAGGAGGCCACGACTGAAGAAGTTGTCACCATCGAGGAAGCCTCACCAGAAGCCCCTGCCGAGGAGGCCCTAACCATCGTTACAGGAGAGCCTGCCACCGAAGCGGAATCCGTTGTTGATGCTGAACTCGTGGCGGAACTAGATAATTTGCAGGGAGGTCGCTCCGAGGAGCAAGAAGACGGCCGACATTTCTCGGACGTATCGGGAATGCAACTGCAAGTTTCATCGAGGCACCTGATCCTGGTATCTCGCTACTTTCAGGGTGCCCTAAACGGTCCCTGGAAAGAAGCGACGTCCGTCTCAGCCGACCGCTCCCGTCACGTATTTGCTGCCGACTAGGACTCGCAAGCATTCTTGATCTTGATGCTTATTATTCACGGTTGTAACAGACAGGTGCCTAGACTTGTCAGCCTCGAGTTGCTTGCAAAGATTGCTGCTCTTGTGGACTACTACCAATGCCTCGAAGCGGTCGAGGTGTTTGCAGGATTATGGCTTCAGAGACTGAGAAGCCAACGTCAACTTCCAGAGCAGGTCGGGAGGGACCTTATTTTATGGCTCTTTATATCGTGGGTATTTGCTAATGGCGATATCTTCACGTCCGTAACGACCATAGCCCTTCGGCAAAGCCAAGGGCCGCTTCCAACCTTGGGCCTCCCAATCCCAGAAAAAATCATTGGTAAAATAGACCAGGAAGAAAGTTAACGCATTCGGTGGCTAATGATCTGGCCAGAGGCGATTGATCGCCGCAGACAAGAAGTCGTCGAAAAGGTCACCACAGCGCTCCACGGGCTCTGCGTTTCATTTCGTGACAGTCCAGATCAATGCTGTTTTGAGTGCTCGTCGATCCAACTCGGTGCGCTCACGAAGGAGATGCATGCAAAACGGCTCGAACCAAGACCAGCATCACCAATGCTCGGTTACAGTGTGGTAGCAACAATAGATACCGCGAGGAGCTTTCGTTCTCCTCAGTGGGACTGTAAGCGAAGGGGTTACAGGTATGCATCGCGTTATTGCGATCTAGAATCCATTATTCGATCAAAGGTGGATGGTTTGAAGGAGATGATACGTGGTCTGAAACTGGGTGATTTTCAGGAACGTCGCTCCCCCGTGGCATCCGATGGTCTTGGAGCGACGGCAGCAGCTTGATATGGATTTTAGCTTGATTTGGTGTTTGAATACTGCAGCTCGCGAACTACTGGATGAGAAGGGGGCTACTTAACGTAAACAAAGGAATCCGATCTGGGAAGCCAAGAAGTGCAAGAACGATATTTCTTTGCACCATGGGTCATCACCTAGCCGAGGGAGACCTCGAACAGTATCTGTACTAACCTGGCCATGAAGGCGCTCATACCTGTCCAGTGCCTCTGTCAGGGACATGTTCTTGTAGGGCTTCCATGTCTTCTCTCCGCCTTTCCATTTCACAAGCAGTTCCATGCTGGCAGCTCTAGTGCATGCTGGAAATGGCCAGCCTAGGCGAGCCCGAAAGGAACCGCAACGGCGATCCCAACATAGAAGGCGCAAAGCCAATAGCTGAACTGAAGCCGGTCTATCCGCATGGAGCGTAGGCAGGCGTATAGTTGGAGAAGAGAAGGAAGTGCGAACGCTGCAGCCGCTTGGGCCACTTGGTCAGGATCAATATTATTCTCCATTTGATGAACGAATGACAAAGCGCGTGGGAGCAAGGCGGACAAGGCAACCATGGTGACCTCGCAGGAAAGTGCACTGCAAGCGCAGGGTCTGCCATATATACATGTGCACCCAACTGATCACGAACTCCTTGGCCGCGTGGTGAACGGCACGAGACGGTTTTACGCGGGCTTTCCGTCCGAGCAGCGTGGGATGCTTCCCAGCCCGCCATTGGGAACTTTGCTTGTTCGAGAAGCTAATGAGCTGGAGCCACCGCAACAGGGGCATCCGACTCCCCGGGGTCAGCAACTGCGTGGCTGCGCAGAGGACTGCATTTGTCAGGGGCCGTGGCTCCCCGAGCAGCGCGGGATGATTCTCAGCTTGTTGGATCCTCAAGCCTACAGGGACGGCAGCTCTCTCTTCGTACCGAGTGCGTTATCACGAGATCAACATCTTGACTGGGTTTCCCTTACCGATGCTCCGCCTTGCCCTCCTAAGGCAGGAACCTCAATATGAGCGCCCAGGGGTTTGAGACCAACGCATTTGACCAGGCTCAAGTGACGGCTATTGAGCGCCATGAACGTAACTCCAAATTTCATGCGAGGCAAGCTGGCATATTTGTTCATTGACCAGTAGAATATGAGCGCTTCAGGTACTTGTCGAGGCGGCCGGCTCGGCATGCATCGCGCGCCGATATTGACCTCTCGACCAGAAGTAAGGCCAACTCATTGACGAATAGTCTGCTTGTCCCTTGATCGACATGTCATCAGATATCAAATTCCTCGGTGGGTATGCCGTCAATCCGGCACGTGTTGTATACCTGGACGGCTATTATAGCCTTGCAAGGCTGGAGCGGGACTGACTATGGGAGCGCGGGATTGAGGAAGAATCGAGGACGGGGTTGATGGCGGGATCGAGGGCGGGATTGTATGATTTAGCGTCGAAGTTATTTGCTGGAAATTAGTGTGGGACTGAGTGCGGGACCGAGTGCAGGACCAAAGTATGGATTTGAGTGCGGGGTTGAGTGTGGTCGAATGAGACCAAAGTGCGGGAATTTTGAGTGGGCCATATAGTTGTGCGGCGTGTGACAACCGGGGCCATAGCTTCTGTTGCAATAATCGGTGTTCGAGAATCGTAGGTTGGGCATCAACGCCAAGCACCTTCAACCTTAGTCGGTATAGTCAACGTAAAACCTATCTTAGCGGTCTTGAAGATATGAACTTTGCTAAAGAGAAAGCTCTTCTTATATCCTGAAGGAGAGGTCCTATATACTAGAAAAACGAGTAGGAGGTTGGGACATTCTTAGTCTTCTCCCCTTTATAGAGTTATACGATTTTTTCTGATAGAGGAAGCAATAGAACCCCGACTGAACTTGCCCTATAAGTCGCTTCGAGCATGCCTAATACCGGCATAGACGCCCTAGATAGAAAGCAGGAGTATATTTCCGGATTATATACCTTTACGGTATAAGATCAGACAAGAGTCGTTGTAAGAGGTATAATAATTATAATCTATAGGCAAGGACAGACTTAAGCTAGGTAGTATAGGAAAAATACTAGAGCGGAAGGATAGATTATGTCTAAAGGGGAGAAAGTCCAAGTATATAACGTAGATGTTAAGTTCAAGAAATAAGTTGAGGCGCTGATAATTTGAACCCAAGATATTCGACTATCTTCCACCCTATCTAATACCCTACTTTGATAACAAAGGATATATCCTGCAAGTTAGAATCTAGGATTAGCGCTATAATTATATCTATTGTGACGAAACCACAGGCAGTCCTGCCTCTGAAAGGGTTCGCCGGTCGAAGGTAACTGCTGGTCGGACTGTAGGTCTCGGTGAAGCCAAAAGGTTCACAACAATGCTTGCCGCAATGTCTGCACAATAGGTATGGGCTATTGCTTGTAATATTGCTCACTGGAGAACTCCCAGAGTCCTCCAGAACGAGTGACTATATACTAGCTATCTTCTTGGGTGCTCAGTACTTCGATTCGATGAGCACCCAGGTGCTCATCGTGATATGCCCCTGATCACTCTGATCGCTTACATCCTGCAGAGTGCTCAGCGGTATTGGCACCTTAGCACCTTTGCCTGTCTCTGACTGGTCCGCCTAGTTGTCCAAATGATTGGCTCGGGACGCCCCCGCGTCCCCACATACGGCCGTCTGCCCTGCAGCCTGCCGTTGGTTAATTCGTGACACGATGCCCCTCCTCTAGGGTCGACGCCCCGACGACCAAGTTCCTGAAATAACCAACAGCCCTGGCTATTCTCCTTGTGTCTCGCCCTAGTAGGTTCTTCCCTCCTGCATCGTCGTCATCATGCCTGACCGTATAGAGAAAAAGAAACGAACGAGTTCTGACCGTCGTCGCGATCAGGTGCGCTTCCTCGCGCGGACCGGTGTTATCATGCCTTCCTGCACTTATTGCCACGAGAAGAAACTGGAGTGCGTTGCTCATGAGCGTTACGAACGTTGCCTTCCTTGCGTCAAGGCAGGTCGTTCCAACTGCGATGTCCATGGCGTAGATTGTGAGTCTGCCGCTTCTCTTTGCTCCCATGCTTGCTGACTTCCGTAGTGCGTCCTTTTATTAAGGAAAAGGAGCGTCTTGATGCCGAGCGTCGGGCCACGATTAGCAAATTACTTCGTTTGGAGCAACAGTCGCGGGCGTTGGAGGAGAGGGCTCGTGCAGCCTTCCGTCGGGAGTCTCGTTTGTTGGACGAGGAGGAGAAGGAGGAGTCGGAGCAGGCTTCCCTGGCCGCTCTGCCTTCGGATGGCACGGCAGCAGCGTCCCTAGGTACTACCGCTTCGCCTTCTTTGTCGGATTTCCTTGCTCCAGGTCCTGCTTCGTCGGATCACTTGGATCCCAACTGGTTGTCGGACGTTCCTATAGACTGGAGTGTTGTTGGGGGAGGTCCCTCGTTTCTGGCTCCACAGGGTTCTGGTGGTGGGAGCCCTCCGGTTTCTCAAGGTAGTGGGGGTTCGTAGCTGGTGGTGGTCGGGTCTTGGTCGCGCCTGCCGTGCGTGTCGTGTTGTAGCGTGGCTGCCTGCAGCCGCTCTTTCCTGCCTGGGGTTCTCAATCTGATTCTTGTTGCCTGTTTCCCGACAAATGAAATGGCTCAGTGGTGTAGCTTGGTTATCACACCCGAGTGATTGCTCTGGGAGACCATGGGTTCAAATCCCATCTGTGCTACTGCTGGCTGTGGTATGGGATGACGTCGTGCAAGTCGTCACCCAGAACACGGTCAGCTTTTGCGTTTTTCCTCCTTCCTGGGCGGTCTGGGTTCCTTCGGTGGAATTCTCTTAGTTTTTCTGCGCAGCTGAGGTGTTCTGCTGGTTCCCATGAGTTGTCTTCTGGCCCGAAGTCGAGCCATTTGATCAAGTATTCTAGCCTTCCGTTGGCTATTCGTGAATCCAAGATTTCCTCAACGTCCCATTCTTCTTCTTCGTCCTCGGCTTCGATGTCCTTTGCAACCCGTGCGTTCCTGGGTGCTGGTTCGAGGAGCGAGATATGGAAGACGTTGGTGCGTAGCTTCATCGTTGATGGTAGCGAAAGTCGATAGTTGGATCTCGAGATTCTTGCGTCGATTTTGAATGGTCCAATCTTTCTGAAGTCGAGCTTCTGGCTTGGCCGTTTCGTTCTCAAATTCCGGGAAATGAGGTAGACCATGTCTCCTCTCTCAAGGCGAGGTCCCTCGAGCCGATGTTTGTCGTAGTACTCCTTCATCCTGAGTCTGACGAACTCGAGTTCTTCTTTTAGCATTGCATGCAGTGCATGCATCTTCTCCGCCTTGATTTTTGCCCTGGGTACCGTGACATCTGGTCCCTGGCGTAAATCTGCTTCGTAACCAAAGTTCGCGAAGAACGGAGTGACCTTTGTTGTCTCCGTTGGCGTTGTATTGTATGCAAGCTGTGCCGCTGGCAATAGATCAACCCAGTCGTCTTGCTGGAAGTTGACGAACGTCCTGAGATATTGTTCGACGATCTGGTTGAGCCTTTCTGTCTGGCCATCTGTCTGCGGGTGGTATGCTGTTGAAAGCTTGCTTTTCGTGCCCAAACGCTTCATAAGCGTTTGCCAGAACTTTGATGCGAATTTGGTGTCTCGGTCTGTGATCCATTCTTCCGGCCACCCATGAACTGCTGCGATGTGCCGATAGATCGTATCCGCAAGTTGCTCTGCTGACCATGATTCTTTGTATGGGAAGAAGTAGCTCCACTTGGTGAGTCGATCAACCACAGTGAGGATGCTGTCATACTTCGTTCCGGTAGTCGAGTCTTTCGAAAGCGGTAGTTTGGTGATAAAGTCCATCGTCACCGAACTCCATGGTCGTTCTGCAACTGGCAATGGTTCCAAGAACCCGTATGGTTTGTGCCGTGCCGACTTGCTTCTATTGCAGAGGTCGCATTCCTGCACAACAGTCTTGACTCTGGTCCTGAGTCCTGGGAAGTCGTAGTGTTGCCGAACCTTGGCGACTGTTTTGGCGATTCCCATGTGTCCTCCGAGTTTTGACTCGTGGATTGTCCT